ACAAAGAACATAATTTGATTCGTGCGATTAAGGACAAAATTGAAAATATTGAAAACCTGGAGGTATCGCGGAAGAGATTATACCTGGAAGCCCAAAATACACAAGCTGGAGAAACCAAAACGACATTGTTTCGTTACTGATGTATAACGCTTTTTTCTTCCCTTTTTTTTATTTCATTTCATTTTCTTCCCTTTTTTTCACTCTCTCACTTCTCTATATGCTCCAAACTCCGACGATTGGCTCTGTCGTCGGCCATCGTCCTCCGACGTCCTTTCGATTTAAAATTTCCCTGACGGTCTCGACTTGACGTTAGGATCACAGATCTAGGGTCCAAACCGCCATAAGTGATATCAAAATACACGAAATAGCCAAAAATCGTTTGGCTTTTTCATCTTCGATCCATCATCGTCCACCGTTGGATAGAGTACAAACAAAAGTATATGGGTTCCCTCGTTCTTGTGCATCTCCTCACCGTCTGAATTGACGATTTGATTGTCCGAACACCGACGAGGGACCTCAGCCTAAGGTGAACCCCTTTTTATCTTCTCCATTTTTTATTTCTCGATTCTCCTTTCTTTCCTCTTTCTCAGTTTTTTCCTTCATTTTTTATTTTTTCTTTGTTAGAATCGATCTCCTCTTTTTTATAGTGATAATTTTTTTTCTTTTCACTGTAGACAATGATGACTGGAGGCGGCGCAGTGGTAGTGGCTTTGACTGACATGTGGAGGCGATGACAATAGTAGTGGCTTTGACTAAAAGGGGACGACGACGATGGTGGAAGAAGAAGAGACAGTGGTAGGCGGCGGCGACGGTTAAACAGGGGCTAATGTTTAAAGTATATTAGGTTAGGTTTGATTTTAGGCCTTTTTTGGGTTTGGGTTTGATTTGGGCCCGATTTACTGCTGGGCTTGGTGTATTATGCCTGAATAATAATAATAATAATAATAATAATAATAATAATAATAATAATAATAATAATAATAAAAATAACCCGAATAAAAACTGACGTCTACACTTGCCATATACAATCCATGGATCTTCAGCTAACACTTTAACATAAACCAAAATGAGAAAATAATCAACAAGCTGGAAGGGGAACTTGTCAAGCTTTGTGATGTGGAGAATAGGCAACCAATCTCTAGTGTACTAAAAGGAGTGCAGGGAGCAGTGAAGAAATGGTCTGGGAAGGGCTATCTTGAGATTCCTGGGAAAAGAAATACAGGTGATGGAACTTAATTTGCAACAAGGTATCTCCATGGTGTCTATGAAGAACCTAGTGGTAGCAAAGAAAGAGCTGTGGGACTTGTATAAAAAAGATGAACTGATTTGGTTTCAAAAGTCAAGGTTGAAGTGGAATTTGAATGGGGATAAAAACACCAGATTTTTCCATCAGTGTGCAAGAGGTAGAGGGAGGAGAAACAACATCAAATCCATCAAAGTTGATAACGAAGACATTTCAGATCCAAAACTAATTAAAGATTCGGTGGTTCACTTTTTCAAGGGGTTGTTAAACCAGGACAATACATTGGAAGTTGAAGAACTGGACTTGGATTTTTTAAAGCTTTCGGAACAGCAGAGTATGGCCCTCGAGAAGCCTTTCTATGAAGAGGAAATTTGGGGTGTAATAGCTAATTCGGATAGTAACAAAGCACCTGGTCCTGATGGACTGAATTTAGGTTTTTTTAAGAAGTTTTGGCCAAATCTGAAGGAAGTTTTGCTGCTGTTTTTTAAGGAATTTTATGAGGGTAAAGAATGGGGCATGGAAACAAACCACTCTTTCCTCTCTCTTATTCCAAAGAGGGACAATCCGGAGGGGCTTGAAGACTTTAGGCCTATTAGTCTTGTTGGGGGTTTCTACAAAATTCTTTCAAAAGTTCTAGCTAGAAGGTTAAGCTTGTGTATTAATGATGTTATTAGTCCATCACAATTCGCATTTATTCCGGGGAGACATATTTTAGATTGTGCGTTTATAGCAAATGAAGGCATTGATTGTTGGAGGAAAAAATGATTGAAGGGAGTTGTCTTTAAGGTGGACTTCAAAAGAGCTTTTGATTCGGTTGATTGGAAGATCTTGTTGAAAATAATGAGTAAAATGGGATTTAGAGCTAGATGGAGTTCTTGGATGTATAAATGTGTTTCAACAGCTTCCATTTCAGTCCTGGTAAATGGCACTCCTACGGAGAAAATCAACATTACTAGAGGTCTAAGGCAGGGCTGCTCGTTATCCCCTTTGTTGTTTAATTTGGGAGGGGAATTGCTACATTTAATGCTGGTGAAAGCAGTGAACAAGGGGCTTTTCTCGGGTTTTGAATTAGGCTCTAATGACCGTTCTTTCATGTTATCTCATTTGCAATTTGCGGATGACTTAATAATTTTTAGTAAGGCTTCTAGTCATGATTTGGTGAATATTAGGAGGGTGCTTCTAATTTATGAACTGCTGGTGGGTTTGAAGTTGAATTTGTCCAAGAGTAGAATTTTTGGAATTAACGTGGGAGAGGAGGAGTTAGTTACATGGGCAAAGGAAATAGGGTGTGTAAAGGGAGTTTTTCCATCGGAGTATTTAGGTCTTCCATTGGGGGCCAAGAGGAATTCCTTTTCCATGTGGGAACCGGTAGTTCAAAAATTTTATAAGAGTTTGGCTGGTTGGAAGGCCAAGTCTTTATCTCTGGCTGGAAGGGCTATCTTGGTCAAATCTGTTTTGTGCTCTCTTCCAATATACTACCTTTCTATTTTTCGGATCCCTAGTAGCGTTCTCAACAAATTAAACTCTATCATGGCATCGTTTTTATGGGGGGAGCATCAGAGAAAAAGAACATTCATTGGATTAAGTGGGATTTGGTGTGTAAGCCTAAGAAGTTGGGGGGTTTAGGGATCCCGAATCTGTTGTTATTAAACAGGGCTCTTTTGGGGAAATGGGTGTGGAAATTTGCTGCAGAGAAAAACTCTTGGTGGAAATCTGTTTTGTGCTGTGTCTACAATTTGGATCTTAATTCTTTGATGATTCGGAATTCTTGGATAGCTCGTACTTCTTGGATTTGGAGATGAGTTGTTAAGAATTTCTTTTCATGTGATGCATTTGGGGACTGTTTTCGGAGAAATTTGTGTGTTAGAGCAGGAAATGGAGAAACAGTTAAGTTTTGGCATGATGTTTGGTTGGGTTCGGTTCCTCTTAAAGATAGGTTTCCAAGGTTATTTGCTCTCTCGAATAATAAAGAGGGTAAGGTTGCAGAATTCAGATTGCATTCTGATGCGGGTTGGGTTTGGGATATTCAAACGAGAAGGAATTTGGTAGATTGGGAGGTTGAACAGTGGCTACAAATTATTTCTCTGTTGAACAACTCTTCTTTGTCCCTAGTTGAGGAAGATTGTTGGATTTGGTTGGGAAATGGAGAGGGTTGTTTTACAGCAAAATCATGTGTGAATGCTTATTTTGATATAGAGGGTAATGTTGAATTAGAAAGCAATTGGGAAAGATATGTTTGGAAAGGAGTAGCTCCACCACGTGTGGAATCTTTCGTTTGGCAACTTGCTCATCATAGAGTTGCGGTGAAAGAGGAACTGCTGAAGAGAGGAGTTACTGGGGTTGAAGACTCTGTCTGCCCTATGTGCAGGAAGTATAATGAGTCGGTCGCTCATCTGTTTCTTCACTGCGAAGTGGTATGGGTCTTGTGGGCTAAGTTTTTAAAATTATGGAATGTTTTCTTTGTGGTTCCTGGTTCGTTGATGGATTTCTTTATGGCCTGGGATGATCTAGTGCCACGATCTCTCATATGGAAGTTTATTCCAAGAGCGGTATTGTGGTCTGTTTGGAAATGTAGGAATGAGGTGATTTTTCAGAATGGGAAGGTTGATCCGGTGTTGTTGTTCTTCATTACACGTTTCAGAACTGTTTCTTGGTTCGAAACATCAGTTAAGGATGTTCACTTTCATTTCGATTCTTTGATGGGTGATTTAAAACTTGCAGATCAACTTGGCAATTCGCATAAGAAGAATCTTCCTTCTTCCAGGTGGAGTCCTCCTCCGGAAGGGTTTTTAAAAGTAAACGTTGATGGTGCAATGGTTAAAGATTGGGATAAGGGTGGTATAGGTGGCTTGATTAGGGATGGCAGCGGGTTGGTGCTTGGGTCATTTTCAGAGAAGGTTGGGGGAGGTCCTCCTTTACTCGTGGAGCTTTTGGCTATTAATAGAGGGTTGATTCTTATTGAGGAAGTTGAAACCGATTTTTTTTCAAAACAGAGGATTATTTTGGAATCAGACTCTTCTAATGCTCTGAAGTGGATTAATAATCCGATCCTTAGTCCTACTTTGTTCCAATCCTTGATAACGGATATAGCTTCTGCTGTGGAGAGGAAGGGTATTATCATAAGGCACATCTCGAGAACAGCTAATTGGGAAGTTGATGAATTAGCTAAAGCTGGCATAGGCTGATTTTAGTTGTGTAACTGTTAAGGTGTTGTCTTGGTTGTTACTATTAAAAGTGTATTAGGGTGTTTTATGCTTTCAGAATTATGGTTGTTTTGTTGTGTAAGAAGTTGTTGTAGAGATGTGGAGGTGTATTATTGTTCCTATTAATAAAAGTTAGAGGCACTCTTTCCCTCCTTCCAATGTCCTTCATGTTATGTTTGTAACATGGAGGATAAGAAGGGGGGTTTTAATGAGGCCTTATTCTATCAAAAAAAAAAAAAAGCTGGAAAGGATGTGAAGGTTTCCAAAGTGCAAAACCTCTGCCATGCAAAGCATTTAAGTAGACCCCCTCCCTAAAAGTTTCAAAACAACCGTATTCTAAGAATTTACCACATTCTGCAGACTTATTCTCAGTCGTCATTCAGAGAAAATTTTACCTTTAGACTATTTTGTTAAATGGCATTCTGAAAACATTTATTAATAATACTAATATTTAATACATTAAAAATGATAAATAAAAGTTGATTAATATAAATTAACTTTGATAATTGACAATTTTATTCATATGAGGTGTATATTTCAATTAACACGTCGAGCATCCGAAATCATAAATCCATTTAAATACCAATATATATATATATATATATATACAAAACCATAGCAAAAGAAAGGTAGCACACGGTATTCAATTTCAGAAATAGAAGAAAACCAGGGAAATGATAGAGAATATAAACAAGTAAACTCATCTTGTTCTGCAAACAAGAAAGGAAGCATTCAACATTCAATTTCAGAAACTGATTCCAACCCCTTCAATACCTCGTAGCTTACACCGTCTTTCTCCCGCTGATCTAAAAGCTGATGACAAAATATTCAACCACAGAAGAGGAGCATCAACATCCAGAGTTGCATTAACATTGTGTCAACTAGATTCTTATTTCTCCCGAGTCAAAGCGCCTTGAAGAAGTGATATAAATATTGGCAGCCTAAATACATGCAACCTTTCATATAACAATGGTAAAAGTCGATTTGTGGGAACACCGTCTGACCAGCTGCAGAACCAAAACCTAATATGCATCTGCAATGTCCTTGGTGGAAATTTACTCTCAAACAACAAAAGAATTCTATCTTGAATAAGGAGTTATTGATCAAAAGTCTGATCAAATATAATTTCCTGTAACATTAAAATAATACAACATATCAGTTATCACTACTTTGTCAACATCACCATAAACAAATACCTGCAAAGTTATGTAATGTGCGAGATTTGGCACAGGATTAGAAGTCTGCAGATTCATTCTATTTACTTTTAAAATAGTAAACTATAATTCCCGTTTCTTTTCTTGCACCATCCACTAGTTAGAGAAAACTTGAGTTCATTTGTCAGCACAGTATACTTGAGTTCATTTGTCAGCACAGTATATTGCTCCAACAAGTGTGACTATAAGCCTTGTCTCAAGTTAATCCCTCTACTACGAGTGTGACTATAATCTAATCTCATGCGGGTAACCAACTATGAGTGTAAAATTTATAGCAATTTGAAAGAGAAAAAACCTGATCACATAAAGGGCAGGTGTCACTTCTTTCCATCCATTCCAAAATGCATGAGAGGTGAAAATGATGTTCACATTTTGTTACAAGCTTCGGATTCTCTTCGTCATACTCTGCATGTCCAGGCACCATATACAAGCTATCATTTATGAGCTGCTAAAGATATTAAATTAAGAAATTGACACAGTTTCCAACATACAGTAATCAGGTAGCAGCAAACATGGTTTTTAGATCTTACACTAGCAATTAATGCCTTAGGCAGTAAGAGTAGACCTACCTTCAAGACAAATAGGACATGTATCCTCTTCTTCCGTTGATGATTTATTAGATTCAATTAATGCTGTGGCTTCTGGTTTTCTTGGTGAAAGAATTAAAGAACTAGACAGTGTTCTGCAATCTGATTCCTCAAGATCTTCACATGTAGGCAGTGTCTGAAAACTGTCCCCACTGACAGTTTCCTTGAAAGACTCTGTATCAGCTGAATTTGGATACCCTAAGACCCCATCATATGGCAAAGGTGCTGGAGGTGGCCTAAATGTGTCAGGTACTTCTAGATTCAAATTAACCAGAACTGCAGCCATTGTAGAGGCCGACCCATCGTGAGCTCTTAAAGACTCGTTCTCTTCCAATGTAGGCGGACACTGTGGAAAGGCATTTGAAAATTCAAAGAATGATACATAAAAGTAAGAGACTCTAAAGAACATTTTTATCAAGATAGTAGTTAAAAGGAAATCTCCAGTTAAACAAATTAGAAATCACCAGGTAAGTTATCATATAAGCATAATGGCGAAAAACAAACATGAGCTTCATCCTTCACACACATATGCACACACTATATCCTATGAAAGAACTTCCAACATTTATCCAGTCAAAAGATCAGCTGCAGATAACAGGTTCTACAACCAGTTCCAGTGAAGAAGAAGGAATGAATGGGATTGATTTTGTGGAATAATTAATTATAAAAAGGCTGAACTAAGGGTATTAAAAATATTCAGTTTTCTTTCTCATTTGCCTCTTCCTTTTCCAATTTGTTATTGTGGATAGCGGTGAGTGAATACTCCAATATTCCGAAAAAAACACCTTCAATTTCTTATGTTTGAAGAAGGACAAAGTCCTATAAGAATATAAAGGCATTAGACATATTCATAAGATGAACATGTTACTAACATAATAATATACAGGTGTTCCATGCAGATGAGGCTTCTGAGAAGAACAACAGCAGCCTCCCATATCCCACAGTTATATTTGTCATCCACTCAACGCAAAGGTAGTTTGGTGCATTTTCTCCTGTTATTGACATCAAAGGTCAAGTAGAATGTAATACTTTTTAAACAAAAGGAGAAAAAAACAACTTACAAGCCAGAAAAAACATGTAACATAATAACAAAAATAGAATCAAGCTTTAACAAGCATGAACAAGCAAAGAGAATATATCCTCACTAATCATGCCAAACAGAAATGTGAAATAAGCAAGGTGGAATACAAACAATTAAGCAGATGCTGAAGATCATGTTGAGAAGTAAAAAGCTTCAGACAATCATAATTTCGGTTCAAACAAATTCTTCGGTTAGTCGAGGATAGCAAGTTACCAGCTTTCTATGCATGCTTCACAACCATACAGCTCATAGTGGCAGGTGTATGCATTAGCAGACAATATACAATTAAAGAAGGGAAACAAAAGATAAGAAAATGATGACATGCAAACAGAGCATGACTCAAGTGGCTCAAACGTTTATTACAATAATCAGCCTCTCAGAGCCACATGCCCAGATTATCCAAAAACAGAATATAAAAAAATATTGAAAATCACCATAAAGAAGACACTAAAGAACTTGAATTTCCAATATTCATACCTTTGAAATCTACCATAAAGTCAATCCAACATATAACCATCAGAAGTTAAGGAAACCTAGAAGTCTAAAGTACTAATTAACTCGAATAACAACAAACAACAAAACAATCCATATAACGGGAAAACAGAAAGTCGTACCAATTTCATAAACCCTAATTAGAGAAGAACGGAATAGATGAAAGGAGGGGGGAATAAAAAAATAAATGATTTATAATGAATAAAAAGGAAGTTCAAGGAGTACAAAAAACGTGAAAATTTTAAATTTTACCTTTTGAAGCGGCGGCGGAGAGAATAGGCGAAGGATTTCAAGCCAAAAATTCCAACTTGGAAAAGTCGGAAGAAGTTGAAGAAGAAACTTGGTAATGAGAAAAAGAAAGAAAGAAGCTTTATGCTTTCCCCATTTTATTTTATTTTAATTTTTGTCTGTTGTTATACGGTTTCTTCAACAGTATGCGCTCCACTTGGCTTTTCTCTCTTTCATGATTTATTTGTTTGTTTATTGATATTATTGAGTGCCAAAACCGCATAAGAATTTTCTGTTTACTATCTTTATGTAGATAATAAAATAAAGCTTCTAATTAGATTAAATCAAATTTTAACAAAATACTTTATGAATCAAAATATAAAAATGTTATAGCAAAATAAAAATAATCGTGAAGGAAATGAAGCTTCTTTTTTTGTGAATTGCAAGCACATCTTACCATCTAAATATTAAAAAGAAAATATTATTAATTGTTTTATTTAAATTTTATTTTTATAAAATAATAATACAAATTGTTTAATAATCAAATCTAAAATATAAAAGATCAATATAAAATAGTTAATAATATCATCGGATAATACTATTGTAATTACCGGTATTAATAAAAAAAATTAAAATATATAAAAGCATCGAACATCGTTGACTAACTCAGTTTCTGATCCTATGCATTCAAAATGCATTTCAAACGACAGTTATCTTCTTCTTCAGCACTCCTAGAGAAACCACCCAGTTACGCGCGCTGAGTCTGAAACCCAATCTCTCGTCGAGTACACTCAGAAACACGGCGTCGGCACTGCATCCCGAGTCGAACAGCTTCTATTCCCACGCCCTCAAAATCTCATCCAAAATAGGTCTCCTTAACGAAGGGAAACAACTCCCTTCGCGCATAATAAAACAAGGGTTGAACAACGTACTGCCTTTGCAAACTCAAATGCTAGGTTTATATTTTAAATTCGAACAATTTTACGATGCAGAGAAGTTGTTCGATGAAATGCGTGTTAGAAACTTGGTGGCGTAGAACACAATGATTTGTAAGTCGAATATTCGTCTGGGTTTTTCTTATTTCACGAAAATATTGATACACTACACAACGTAGGTTTTGATCACATAACTTTGAATTCTTTGCTCAGTGATTCCTCTGAGCTAAATAACATCGTTTTAGCATAGAGTTACATTGTTTTATTGTGAAATCGGCATTTTTATATGATTCTTTTGTTAGCAATGCTCTTGTTAATTTATATGAGAAATGCAGTCTATTTGAAGAAGCGAGATGGGCTTTCGATCAAGTGTCTTGTAGAGATTTGGTGTTGTGGAATGTGATGGCTTCTTGTTATGCTTCGGATTCCTTAACACGAGAGACTTTTGAGGTTTTTGATTTGATGAAGAAGGAAGGTGTTAAAGGGGGAGGTTATACGTTTTGTTCTTTGCTTTAAATCTTGCCGTAGTTGGGGATTTTATGAACCGGGAAGGCAGATAACAAGATTCATTATCTCAATATTAAACTTGGTTTTGATTTAGATGTTCACGTGGTGAGTGCACTTGTTGATATGTATGTAAAGAATGGAAATTTTTGTGATGCTCGAAATGCCTTTGATGGAATGACTGCTAGAAATGTTATGTCTTGGAACACTCTGATCGTGGGTTATGCACAACATGGAGATGTGGAGAAGGTTATATAGCTTCTTAGTGAAATGAGGCTACTAAATTTCTGTTCAGATGAATTAACTGTGTCAAGCAAATTTCAATCTTGTGAAGTTTTATAAACCTCTGCTGAATTGTTGCAAGTCCACACTTATGAAGTGAAAAATTAGTTTGAGTTCTTTTTATCGGTTGCAAATGTTTCAGTTTCAGAGCCTGATCTTGTTACTTGGACATCGCTTGGTCTTTCAAAAGAAAGTATTATAGTGTTTGAGTAAATGTTAGCAACTGGTGTAAATCCAGATCAGTTTGCCTTTCTTGCTATTCTATCTGCATGTAGCCGTGTGGGGCTATAGTGAATGAGGGGCTTTGTTATTTAAATATGATGATGAATGACTATCGAATTATTCCAGATTCAGAGCACTATACTTGCCTTTTTGATCTGCTTGGACGAGCTGGCCTTGCCGATGAGGCTTGAATTTTCGACATCTCAGCCGGTTGCATGTACACCAGACACCTTGGGAGCATTGGTAGGGGCAATGTAGCAGCCATTGCAACGTGATATTGGTCAAGTGGGCAGAAGAAAAAGCTCGTTGCCTTGGAGCCCAACAAATAACAGGTATGCTTGCAAAGGAAGATGGTTAGATATGGCAAGTGTGAGGAAAATGACGACAGATCATTGTGATTACAAAATTCCTGGTTGTATCCGGGTGGAGGTTGCTGCCGATGTAATGTTTTCGCCTCAGATGATAATCTCGTCCGAAACTTTGGACATATAAACTATGTCACCTGGTTCAACGAAGCAGGGATACAATACATTGACTGCTCGGGATATGTTCTTCAGCAATTTGGATGACTGTGCTCTTTAACTCTTTTTCTTATTGTTTTCAGGTAAGGGTTTGCACACTCCAAATGAATCTGCATGCCCAATTAACCACAAGCCAAGTGTTCCGATAATAACTCTTACAACGGTATGGTTTTGAATCATCTATATGGCATTTCTTATCCAATTGAAGCACAAAGTTATGGTGATTGTTGATAGATGTCAATGGCTTTTATTGATAACAAAAGGTCTAATACTAGTCTATTTTAGTGTCCTCTAAGCTGATTGGAAGGTTTGCTTGAAAGTCTGGCAACTTTCAAGTTTCAACTAACTAGAGAACTATGCCAATCTTCTCTCCAACTATGCCACTAATCATTGGTTTAAAGTTTAAACACTGCATATCACAGTTGATTGACTTCTAATCTAAGGGGAAATGCCTTACTCCTAGTGGAATTGAGGAACGACACTTGATTTTTCTACGTGGTATGTTGATGAACTGCTTGCAAGTCGGTATGGAACCTAAGTTGAACTTATCAGTTTTAGGTAATTGTGGTTGTTGGTTTTTAGGGCAAACTACGTATTTGGTCTATCAACTATTTTCACGGTTCCGTTTTGACCATTCAATTATTTTAAAAAAACATACCTAACTTCCATTTTGGTCACTCACCGTTAAAATATTAACGATGATGCTAACGTGTCACCATAAGATAATTTCATATTATCATTGGAAAAAAAAATATCCTGTGAGTAGTTATATTTATTTTTTAATAAAAGGTGATCAAAACATAAATTTAAGTATGATTTTAAGAAAAAGTAGTTAAATGATCAATAAATCATATAAATAATTGGATGACTAAATATGTACTTTACTTTTTAAGCTGTTGACGTTAGAAGAACCAGCTAATTCTGAGGTGACCGACAAAATTGCTTATTTCCATTAAGTTAATTGTATATTTGGTACGTGTATTATACCGAATTTTCAATATCATAAATCATACATGGAGTGGAACATCAATGTTAAACCCTTAGTTGAGTTTGAGCTAAGCAACCTGCCAACCCCGTTTTTGTTCGGACATTGCTGTTTAAAGGTAGTAGTAGCAGTAGTTTGCAAGAAAGAATTCCCTGTTCAAACCTACCCTCGTACTTTATTTGGTTGAAAAATATATTTGTGACCTGATCAAATCAAACTATTATGTTGCGTTTGAGCCAGGTTAACGTTGTCATTAACTGACACCTGTCAATTATTTTAAACCCGTTAAACTTTTGGTTCTTGAATTTGATCACTTAAATTCTTTTGTCAATAGTAGGGATGGACATGGGTGGGTTGGGTTGGGTTTTTGGTCTACCCGATACGATCCGAGAACAAATAGATCTCCACTCGAGACCCGACCCGAACCGATCAAAATAAGTTCACTCAACCTGATCTTGATTTGATATATAATTTAAAAGTCTGAATCGACTCGAAATAATAAAAAAATATTTTTATTCAATAAAAATAATGACTTAATTAAAAAAAATAATATATTGGGGTATTATTATAATTATTCTTAAATATTTAATGTAAAATTATATATTTTCGGGTCGGGTCGGGTATTTTTTAGTTTAAACCTAAACCCGATTTTTAAAAAAAAAATCTAACTCAATCGGGTTGGTTCGGGTCGTAACCCGTCGGGTTCGGATCCCATGCCCATCCCTAATCTATAGTAGTTCATAAATATGAATTTTTAATTATTTTGATGTGTGATATCTTAAAAGCATGGATGAACAGTGAGGGACGGTTGAGGTAATTGTTCTTTAAAAAGTTTAAATTATTATGTATTTTATTTTTTTAATATTTTTTATTAGTAATTTATTTTCGTCCCCTATAATTTTTTTTTATAAATTTGTTTCTTTTTAAGATTTTAGAAATTCACCTTTTAATATAAATTTATGTGTTTATTTTTACGTGTACAATGTCATTGAAACAGCTAAAATGAAAAGAATATTAAATTCAATGACTAATACAGATGAAAAAAATTCAATAATCAAATTGGAAATAGTACTACGTTGGGGTTATTTTATCTTCTTAAAACAATTTTGAAGAATTTTATTTGTTTTACTTTTCTTTGAGTATTGCTCGACTTTGACCGTATAAAATGCCCTTCCACAACGGGCAACCTTTTTTTAGTTGCCAAATACTAATTTGATGTTTACAGTCTCTGTCTAAAATAAAGAAGTTTAAATATATTATTAAATATTATTAGTCAAATAAATTTGAATCAGCATATCATTCTTTCTAATTTATCGCATACATTAATTTATTTAAATATTCATAATATGTGTTAAATTATTCAATCTGGCATCCTCAATTATCTTTTAATCACAAATTTGGCCGTTAAGAATACAATAAGAAAAACTTTGTGGAAAATTACGCAGTTAGTAATTGAACTATTAGTTTTTGATATGTTTTAGTATCTAAATTTTTATTTTTCAAAATCATAACATAAAATTTAGTTTTTGTTTTATTTTAGTATCCGTCATTAAAAACCTTAGTTTTTGTTTCATTTTAGTATCCCTTTCAAAATTTAACAGTAAGATCTTAAAAGATTGAAAGTTTAGGTGCTAAAACAGACCAAAATTGATAATTTAAGTACTAAGCGCGTTAAAGTTTTAACAGTGGGGGTGTTAAATGGAAATAAAAACTAAACTTTAGGTATTGTTTTGAGTTTAGGTACTAAAATAGAATAAAATTGATAGTTTAAATACTAAATGTGTAATTTACCCAAAAATTAACAATTAAATATATACTATATTTAAAAATGATTTTATTATTGTTTAAAATTTTGATATTTCATACCAATCAAATTATTCTTAGAGATCCTAGGTTCGAATATAGTGTAGAGTTTCTAGAATATATATTGCCACTTAATTATTATAGATTGATAAAAAAATTATATTTTCAATCATTAATATTATCTTGATGTGGGTATAATATTTAAACACGTTTAATTATAATGTTATTTTTATAATATTTAAATTTTAATACAGTTATTAATTAAAATTAATTCAATTAATATTATTGTTAACATGAAACATAAAAAATGTAAAGTCTAACATTTGATATTTTTTTCATTTATGAATGAAGAAAAATATGAGTAATAAAAATATTCAAATTATTGTGAAAATGCTTTAAATGAAATCCAATAATTGTTTCTTATTGTTAACCTGTAACCCTACTAATCATTTGTTAATCCTCCAACGTGAAGTTGTATGTTGTATGTAGCAAACTGAACATACACGGCGCATGTTAGAGTAACCTACTTTTATACAATAATGAATTAAAAAAAAGTCGTCTCTTTAATACTATCTCCATCCCATGAACTACCCGCCATTACTAAGTCATTACGTACACAATTTTTTTTTTCATTTTACCTTATCATATTTTTCGTGATGGCCAGCTCTACCAGCAGCTCAAGAAGCCGGAATCCTAGCTCCGGCCCACGATCAACGCCGGACCGATTTGCTAACTCTCCTAGCGTTTCTTCCTTCTCTGCACCACCCGACTCTCGGAAGCCCGATTCGGGTCGGAATCCACTAACGGTTGCTGTCCGGTCCATTGCTGGAGCTTTTGTCTCGTGCTTTACGCCGCCGGAGACAGCTGAAAGGAAGAACTTAATAGTTTCCAATGAGTTTGGAGCTCCGTCTGGTATGTCCTGTTTCTCTTTTTTAGTTTAAACGATGTTGACCTACAAAACTTTTGCAGAGTCCGAGTTTCGATCTCGGATCTGAGAAAGCAATAAAAATCCAGTTTTCTAGTGTTATTTGAAGATCTTTTAGTGTTTTTCTTGCACGTGAATGTTGTTCTTGTTCTGTTTTTTTTTCTTCTTACCGGTGCTTATTTATTTTCCTTGTTTTGAAATTTTCGCGTCAACCAAACAACTCCCCGGCTATAAGGCTCTGCTTCTACTAATTTACTTTTTTAAAAGTTTCTTATCGAACAAAAAACCCAAAATTTTCTATTTGATCGATTTTAGAAAGAATGCACCGTTGGTTTTTGATTTAGTCCTAAGTTAAGTAATCAAAATTTCATTCATAATAAAATCCACAATGTTGATCGACCTTCCGATAATCAAGTAACATAAAAGAAACCACTTAAACTTATAATTTGATGAACTCGTAGTTTCATCGGAAATGTCAAGAACAACTAGCGGGAGACGGGGTTCGAATCGAGTGATTTATTCGAATGCCCGAAAGGAGACAGCGCCTGGGAACATGAAATTCACAATGGACGAAATTCTCAAGGCCACAAGGAACTTCTCCCCTGCTTTCAAGGTCGGCCAGGGTGGATTCGGAACAGTTTATAAGGGAAGACTTGATGATGGATCCCTTGTTGCTATTAAACGTGCTAAAAGTGTACGGATTTTGAACAATGAATTTACTTTTAACATGGTTTCTTCTCTTGATTTATGATAAAAAAAATGGTGGGATTGTTTTTGTAGAGTGTGTATGATAAGCATTTGGGTGCGGAGTTCCAAAGTGAAGTGACGACGCTAGCACAAGTGGAGCATCTGAATTTGGTTAGATTTTATGGGTGTTTAGAGCATGGAGATGAAAGAATATTGGTTGTGGAATATGTCCCCAATGGAACTCTCAGGGAGCACTTGGATGGTGGGTTCTTGTTGTTTCTTCTTCTTTTGCTGGAATATTTTGAGACTTCAAATGATCAAAAACAGAGAAAATTTTGCTGCAGGTGTTCTTGGGAAAGAACTTGACTTTGCTGCACGGCTTGATATAGCCATTGATGTTGCCCATGCGATCACCTATCTTCATATGTATACAGGTTTGTTTTTGTTTTTGTTTTGGGGGTTTAAAATTTAAGTGATTTGATGTTCTTTGAGAGAATTTAATCAGATTACGGAACTGAATTTTGTGTAGATCACCCAATTATTCACAGAGACATAAAGTCTTCCAACATTCTCCTTACCGAAAAGCTTCGAGCCAAGGTTGCCGACTTCGGTTTCGCTAGGCTGGCTGCGGATATGGACTCCGGCGCAACCCATGTGTCGACCCAGGTTAAAGGAACTGCCGGCTACCTGGACCCAGAATACCTCAGGACCTATCAACTTACAGAAAAGAGTGATGTTTATTCATTTGGGGTATTATTAGTTGAACTAGTCACAGGCAGGCGCCCCATTGAATCTAAAAGGGAACTCAAGGAGCGGATAACGCCAAGATGGGTATGCATTGAAATTCTTTTCCAGTCTCACTTCATTTGTTCATTTTGATCCTTGCGTTATATTAAAGAGTGCATTTTGATCCTCTACTTTTAAAATGAACAAAAAGTTTTTGTATCATTGGTAAACCAATGACATAATTATTCAATGGTTACAGATACCTACCTGTTTTGCCAATTGCAGGCAATGAAGAAGTTCACTGATGGCGATGCCATTTCAGCTTTGGACCCTTGTCTAGAACCAACTGCCGGAACTAATTTAGCCCTCGAAAAGATTCTCGAGCTAGCCTTACAATGCCTGGCACCCCGTAGGCAGAGTCGGCCGAGTATGAGGAGCTGTGGGGAGGTGTTGTGGAGCATCCGTAAGGATTATAGAGAACAATCAGCTTTAGACTTTCGCTCTCTTTCATCCTCTTCTCAAAGGAGTGTCTCAGTTAAAGAACAATAAACCCAGGTATGATTTGCACAGAACCTAGTACAAGTCTTGTTGTCTGCTTGTATCAGTGCTTTTTTTAATGCTACATCTGTAAGGTAAAATGTTTTTAGTGAAGAAAACAGAAATGATTTCTTAGGCCTTCAAGGGAGGTTAGATTTTTGCAAGATCATTGTGATTTGTTAGTTTTTGAGTTTTGATTTGTGTAAAACTGTGTTTCTATTATTTGTATATTTCTTTAATTCTTTTTTTATATATTTAGGAGATACACCTCCCTCCATCTAAAGTACAGAATATATCATATTGATAAATAAAAAATAATCATGAAAATCATTGAAAATAATCCAAATACTGTTTACAATTGCATGATGAAAAACGGAAATACCTGCATCTGTTGTTCTCATTTTGCTCTACTTTTTCTAAAGTCTAAAAAGGGGACAGCTCTTCACCCTATCTGTTGGGGTATACATTATTTACAAAAGAGATATAATCTTGGAAGATGAAGATGAAGATGTTACCCTACATGTCTAGAAAATAACTTATTTCATTCTTATTCCTTCAATTCTATGAGAATTCTTCCCTCTTCCTATACACCTCGAGAGCAAGAATCCTGCCGAGTTAACTGGTAGTTTCTGTTGGTCTGTGTTTTGTTCCTGCTGTTCATGGTTGTTACTTTTGAATGGAGGAAGAAGAAAGAACACGAAAATATGGTGAAATGCCATATACTGCACGGAAATTTTACAATCGAATATGAGAGAGTGAGAGCAATCAAAACAATTTTATATACCAAAAAGAAGGGAAAGAATTCCAATCTGTGCCAAATCCAGTAAGTTTCACTGCTTTCGAGGTTCCAGCTTAGTGCTGCCATGGCTAATCCAATAAAACCAGCAAACATGAAATCCAATCGATATTGTTTCTTTACAGTGTTTACAATACTCAGCACCCATTCTGTGCTCGGCCATCTACAGTTAAAATTACAGTCAGATTTCCTAGAAGGGCAAGTTTAATTATTCATCTAAATAATAATGCATTATCTTAGCGAGAATCTACAACATATCTAACAGGATGTGCTTCTATAGGGTCCTGTTTTTCTAATGACAAAGCATAGCTTCCTGTGTATCTTAGAAGCTTTCAGGTGAAATCATGAACTTGAATATTAGATGCTAAATCAAGATAATAGTAACAGTTTGATTCTTACGGTACTAAAGGCGGTTTATGCACTGCCATACAAAACCCTGAGTACTTCATGATGGTACAGAAAAGAAACTCACCTTTCGAGCCTGCTCAAACATAAATTCGTTGAACAGGAAAGCGGTCAATATTTGGTAGAGAACTCTATCATCCACCCAAGAAGAAGACCAATTGCCCCGATTGCCAGCACAAGGATAATATTGGATGTGCTGCACAGCTTAGCTTGGTCAAATATCTTCCGTAGCTGCTAGAACAGGGTCATAAATTGAGAATAGCACAAATGTCGCCATATTCATATAGCTGGTTGTCTTCGTTACAGCCATCAGGGAATTAATGATAGCCGCAGCTGTGTGGATTGCCCTTTTAAGGGCTTCATCAATCAATTTGAGGTATACAAAGGTGGTCACTACAGCCATGAAAGAGAGCCAAAAGTCCATAAACTGAAACATTTCCGGATTTACTAGTCAATATTAGTTCAAACTAGTAACTGAAAATAGGATAAGAGAATTCTAGCAACAACGAAAGACAAATAGAGGTGCTACATGTTTATATAAGTTGGATTTCAGTTTTGCATATGGATTTCCAACATGATTTTTCCAAGTTTTTCATTGCCAATAACTTCACCCTTCTTAGAAAATAAATCATAACATACCTGCAAAACATGAAAGGATAATGCACACCAGGTACTCGAATCACATGCATGATATAATGCACTTGCTATTCCACTCGATGTGTAGATCACCCATTCTGCAAATGCCTACATATAAACGAGTAATTATGTTTTTTTTAACTAAATACAGAATCAACAATTGATGGTTAGGTCTGACATTGACATGGTTGGAAAATTTAGAGAAACCTTTGATATTTCATCACAAAAGGTTAGCACCCTTTGCTATAATTCAGAAAATCTTCAAGTGAATCCATGAAAAAAATGGAGCTTTACCCTCTGGTGTAGAGACCAGAAAGGAGGAAGCAAACCTGCTGTATTAGATGTGATCAAAGCAATAGATCGCCACAGGTGTCCTGCATCAGTTTCCAAGAAGATGTTATAGAAGCAAAATTTCGAAGGAAGGAAATGATAAAGAACAAAACAATATTTTTAGATGTAGCACTGAAGAATCTTGACACTATTACAACCAATAATCTGTTATAGTTTAATAGAATTTGAGAAGAATGCGAGAATGAGGAAATAGAGAAGAAAGAATTTTAGAGAATAAGAAAATACTTCATTCATAATCTGAGGAATCAAATGCCTCTCAGCCAATCTTATTTAGTTATAGGGCTAAAAACGTAAAATGCAAAATAGGCCAGCTGGCATTACAGCTATAACAGTTATAACAGACTAATCTTATCCTCCTCTTTTCAGGTTACTAGGCCACCAATCTTGGGCTGCTTCAACTCAACTGGGGTATGAAACTCGGCTGGATCCAATATCTTCTGAACCGGTTCAGCAAAACGCTCCACTTCAGAGGGTAAATACATCCTTCCCTCTTCTCTAGTTTTAATCCCTATTTCCCCTCTTTCCATTCCTTCTCTCGCCTCGATTCCCAATTCTCTATCCTCAATCCCTAACCCTAGACTTCTTCTTTCCCCAATTTCTTCGTTCTCTTCACGCTCATCTCTTCCAACTGTAACAATAACCGGCACTGGAATCGATCCTTGTCTCCAAGGATCAAACTCTGGAAACTGTCCTCTGAGAACAATATAGTCCTCCCACGTATCACTGGTTTCATCGAGGTTTCTCCATCGCACCAGTAACTGTGATACAAGTTTCTTCTGTCTATTTATTATTCTTCTGCCCATAACCTTATACGGCTCAACTCTAATCTGACCATCATCGTTTATTGCAGGAGTTTCAGTTAAAGTAATGACCGAGTCACCTACATGTTTCTTCAGGAGACTTACATGAAAAACTGGATGCAACCTTGAAGAATCTGGTAAGCCCAATTTATATGCAACTTCACCAATTTTCTCAAGAATTTTGAAAGGATCGTAATACTTTGATGCTAATTTTAAATTCCTTCGCAGGACCAGTGATGTTTGGCGATATGGTTGCAACTTCAGGTGAACACTATCTCCCACTGCAAATACCCTTTTTTTCCTCTTTTTGTCTGATTGTTGTTTCATTCTGCTGCTTGCTTGCTCTAACTGTAACTTTACTAACTGTCTAATATTTTCCCTGCTGTTCATTAAATCACTAACAGAATGTACATTAGTTTTTGTCTGCCAAACCATAGTAGGAGATTTATAACCATACAAAGCCTGAAATGGTGTAAGCTTTAAGGCAGTGTGATAGGTAGTGTTATACCACCATTCTGCATGTGGCAACCATTTAGCCCACTGCTTTGATTGAAAAAACATAGCCCCCTTAAATATTGTTCTAAACATTGGTTTACCCTTTCTGTTTGACCATCAGTCTCTGGATGGTAAACAATGCTAAATAATGTTTTAGTCCCTAACTGCTTCATTAGTTCTCTCCAGAAGAGACTAATGAATGTTTCGTCTCTGTCAGAAATGGCCATTTTAGGTTGGCCATGAAGTTTATAGACAATATCCAAATATAATTTGGCTACATCAGCAGCAGAATAGGGATGTGATAATGCTAGGAAATGATTGTATTTTGTAAACTTCTCAACTACCACCAAAATGCAGTTTTTCTTCAAAGATGTAGGTAAACCCTCTATAAAATCCATAGTAATTACCTCCCAAGCTTGTTGAGGAATAGAAATTGGTTGTAAGAGTCCTGGCTTAGCAACATGCTCCACTTTTGTTTGTTGACACACTGTACAAGCCCTGATATGAGCTGCTACCATAGCTTTCAACCTAGGCCAGTAAAAATAAGCCTTAATCATCTGATAAGTGGCCTGTGTACCAGAATGACCACCATGGGGTGAGTCATGTAGGGTTTGAATGATTTGTAATCTCAGAGCTCCATTAGCCCCAATATAAACCCTATCTTGAAATCTAAGGATACCCTTAGAATATTTCCACCTAGGATCAACACTAGGATTAACTGATAAGATATATATCCAGTCAGCAACCAATTTATCTTCTTTATAACTATCTTCCACCTCTTACACCCAACTAGGAATGATAAAAGTAGTACCCATAGCTAAGCATTGACCTTGATCTTCCCACTGTCTAGAGAGGGCATCAACAACTACATTAGATTTTCCTTTCCTATATTGAATAGTGTAATCCAGCCCCAACAGTTTAGTCAAGCCCTTCTTTTGAATAGCAGTAGTTAATTTATGATCCAATAAGTACTTGAGAGGTTCATGGTCTGTTTTGATAACAAAAGGACTGCTTTCTAAATAATGTCTTCATTTAGAAGCTGCTAATAAAATAGCAAGGTACTATCTTTCATATATAGAGAGAGCCGTATGTCTAGGACTAAGTGCCTTGCTAAGGTAGGCAATAGGTCTTCCATCCTGAGATAATACAACCCCAATTCCCCCTGAACTTGCATCTGGTTCTAAATAAAAACATTTACCAAAATCTGGTAATGCTAAAACAGGGGCCTCACACATAGCATGCTTTAAATTTTCAAAAGCCATTAAAGCCTCCTTAGTCCACTTAAAACTGTCCTTCTTGAGCATCTGTGTCAGGGGTTTACTAATTGTACCATAACCCTTTATAAAACCGTCTGTAATAGCCAGTTAATCCCAAAAATCCACACAAAGATTTTAGAGATTTTAGCACAGGCCACTCCTTCATAGCTGCAACTTTAGAAGGGTCAGTAGATACTCCAGAAGCTGAGATAATATGGCCCAAGTATTCCACTTGAGTTTGTCCAAAGAAACATTTGGACATCTTGGCAAATAATTGATTAGTTTTCAAAATTTCCAGAACTATTTGAAGATGAACAACATGATATGCCATAGAGGTACTGTAGACTAGGATATCATCAAAAAAGACCAAGACAAATTTTCTAAGAAATGAACTAAATAATTCATTCATTAGAGCTTGGAATGTAGCAGGGGCATTAGTAAGCCCAAAGGGCATTACCTTAAATTCATAGTGGCCTTGATGAGTTTTGAATGCTGTCTTGTAGATATCCCCAGGTTTAATTATGATTTGCCAATAACCAGACCTCAAATCAATTTTAGAAAAATAGACTGCTCCATGTAACTCATCCAATAAGTCCTTCACCACAGGAATTGGGAATTTATCTTTCACTGTCATGCTGTTTACCTTCCTGTAATCTACACAAAACCTCTAAGTACCATCTTTCTTTTTTTATTAAAAGACATGGAGAAGTAAATAGACTTTTGCTTGGTTGAATAATAGAGGATGATAGCATATTAGCAATCTGTCTTTCCACTTCAGCTTTCTGATTATGTGGAAATCTATAAGGTCTTAAATTAATAGGAGCAACTTCAGGTTTAAGAGTAATAGCAAAATCATGATTCCTTGTAGGTGGCAGACCTGTAGGCTCAGTAAAAATAGAGTGATATTGGTCCAAGAGAGGTTGAATAGCTGTAGGAACAATCTTAGACCCTTCAGACATAGTAAATAGGACTACATGTCCCAAAATAAATGAATCAGAAGCTGTCATCTTCAATAGGGTAGTTCCTGAGATCTGTTGCAGAAAATTAGATTGTTGCTGACCTTGTATAATAATCTGCCCCCCTTTATGCACAAAACTCAGTGTCATGTTATTAAAGTCCATTAAAATTGGACTAAACAGTTTCATCCAGTCCACACCTAATACCATATCACTGCCCCCCCAACTGAAGTAGTCTAAATCATGTACAAAATGCCCTTGCATATTCCATTCCCCTCATTCCACTTGCTGAATTGTAAGTGGTCTCCCTTGAATTGTTCCTTGTATCCTCAATGTATTATGACCAATACATCCAGTAATTGCATTCATAGATATTTCTAGGCTCTCCTCTTCTTATATAATTGTTTGCTCTGAATCTGCTGGTGAATTTTTTTGGGGTAAAACAATATCATCCTCCATCATCATGTTCAATTGCTTAATTTTGCATTGATGACCTGGAGCAAATTTATCTCCACATTTAAATCATAAATTGTTTTGTCTTCTGTAATCCATTAAAGTTTGCTTTGGTGATATATTAGCTGAATTATTCTGTTGTATTGGTAGCTGATTTGGCTTTTGAATAGATAGAGGATTTAGATATGATGAATTTCTGAAAGCTGATCTCAATCTTTTGCTTTCAAACTCCACAGACAACTCATATAACTTAGATTGCTTACATGCCTCAGAAAGTGACTTAGGTTCCAAAGCCTTGACTCTGTGTTTAATATCCTCCCTTAACCTACTAATAAACAGAGAAATAAAAAATTCTTCCCCTAGTGTAGGGTTTTGTAGTAACATATGTGGCTGTAATTCCTCAAATCTATCATGATATTCTTCCACAGTCCCTTTTTGCCCTAACTTTGTAAACTCCACTATATCAGCAAAAATTATGTCACTGAACCTATGACATAGATCTGCCTCAAATTCATGCCGAGTAACATGATGTTTTTTCATAATGTAACCATCAAACCAGATTTCAGACTCTTTGCTCATCAGCAATATTACAGAGAGAAAAATATTTCTGACATTTTTGTAGCCATCCTCTTGGATTAAGTCCTTCAAAAATTGGCAGCTCAATTTTTGGTCTATGCCATATTGTCCCCGACATATTAGAAGACCCCCCAGTACCTCTTTTATCCTCCTCTACTGCCACTAACTGATTTCTAACAGCACTGTTCTCCCCCATTAGATTGTCATTTTTAAAGCTAGGCAAATCATCTGGCTTAGAATTAAGAATTCCAGGTTTATCAGGTTTATAAGTAAACCTAGTCTTATCATTTATCACTGTCACCTTAACAGGTTGTTTGCCACTCATATTAGATGAATTAGGGGTCTGTACCTGGTCATCATCAGACTGTTTTTGGTCCTCCTTTCTACCAGTCATAATCTTCAAGAGTTCCTCAACATATCCTTGATTTGTAGCCAGCCTAGACTCCAGTGCAGTGATCATGTTCTCCTGCGTCTCCCACCATTTAGGTGGACTAGTCTCATCTTGTCCTTTTTTAACTATAGCTGTTAATTCCTCCATCTGTTTTTGCAAACCAGCTAAATCAACTTCAGTCATGTTCTGATTTTTCGGCATGCCCACCAAACTTGCCAGAAACCAAGGCTCTCGATACCAAATTGTTATAGTTTAAGAGAAATTGAGAAGAATGCGAGAATGAGGAAATAGGGAAGAAATAATTTTAGAGAATAAGAAAACACTTCATTCATAATCTGAGGAATCAAATGCCTCTCAACCAGTCTTATTTAGTTACAGGGCTAAAAACGTAAAATGCAAAATAGGCCAGCTGGCATTACAACTATAACAGTTATAACAGACTAATCTTATCCTCCTCCTTTCAGGTTACTAAGCCACCAATCTTGGGCTGCTTCAACTCAACTGGGGTATGAAACTCGGTTGGATCCAATATCTTTTGAATCGGTTTAGCAAAACACTCCACTTCAGAGGGTAAATACATCCTTCCCTCTTCTCTAGTTTTAATCCCTAATTCCCCTCTTTCCATTCCTTCTCTCGCCTCGATTCCCAATTCTCCATCCTCAATCCCTAACCCTAGACTTCTTCTTTCCCCAATTTCTTCGTTCTCTTCACGATCATCGTTCTCTTCAATCTCATCTCTTCCAACTGTAACATAATCTAGAAAACCCATAGTAATATTAATCATGCCTGAAACTGAAAATAACTCCTAGGATATTTTGTAATAGCCTGGACCATTATTTGTTGGAAAACAAAGCTAAAGTCCTATAAAATAGGGGAAGGAAACATGGCAGAGATGATAGTTGTGGGAACATAGAGGACAGTTAAGGTGGGACTTGAACTCCTATCCTGTAGATCATGGGGACTGTGTAGGTCAAGTAGTTGAGACTTTGCTTGGTAGTGGAACCGTATCAAGATAATTGGCTAAATTTGTTTTTTTATAGCATTACAATAAAAGCAAGTCCAGAAATCACTTAAATGCAAATAAACTTGTATGCTACAGCTCCGAATCATAAACTTTAGAAGGCCATAACCCGAGCCTATGATTATAGTTTTTCCATTCCCCTCCCCCCACCAATTCCCCCAAAAAAGTATTTGGAGCCTAAAAAGAGGGAAGAAATAGCTACACTGAAACCATAAACAATAATGTTGATGAAAACATGTGGCAGGAATGGCATCTATATTTTTGCATTCAACTCCTAAAAGGCATTTACCTTGATATGATACAATCTCAATGCTACAGTCAATACCTCCATGGTTCCGATCACAAGTGCAAAAGCTGAGAAACAAATATTTATAAAAATGGAAATTAGAATATATGTATGAGTGTGTAGGAAAAAAACAGATGATAGAACAATGTAATACCTGTATGAAGTCAATCCAAATGCATCAAGAGCAGAATTGCAATCGCCATGATGGGAGCATCTTTTTGGGCATCTTTCAAGTGAAATAGATATTAGTAGTCTGACCATCGGAAATGCCACCAGTTCCGTTTAGATGCCTTAATGCGATACTCCAGATTCCTTCTCTAACATATAAGATGTAAAATTCGACCTTTTCAGCACTTGAATTGCATAATTCAAAAAACATGGAGTTACTACTGTTTGTCTCATTTACATAATAATAGTCCCAGTTAACATGTGATGGCAATCCACCATTTCTAACATATATTCTTTCAAGTGAAATAGATATAGTAGTCGACCATCGGAAATGCCACCAGTTCCGTTTAGATGCCTTAATGCGATACTCCAGATTCCTTCTCTAACATATAAGATGTAAAATTCGACCTTTTCAGCACTTGAATTGCATAATTCAAAAAACATGGAGTTACTACTGTTTGTCTCATTTACATAATAATAGTCCCAGTTAACATGTGATGGCAATCCACCATTTCTAACATATATTTCATAATTTATCCTTCTATCTGACATTAGCTGGACATGGCGATTTCCACCAGCTGCATCTCGAGGAACATTTAGAAGAAAATATGTCCAGGTATCTAGTCCTCCAACTGAGTAGTTGCTTAAAAGGGGATGGAGCTGAAAATCAGCAGCATCTGACCTCAGGTTCTCACCATCTGGCAAATAATAGGATTCAGAAGGGACGGAATATTTCCTGACAACTGTCTGCAGACAACCATTCTCAGATCGTCAATAAAATAATCCTGCGAATGTGTTTCTTAAAGCATCAACAGAAAGGAAAAAGAGTGAAAAAATAAAGTTAAGAAAAGAAACTAAACTAAAATAAATCTATGGTTGCATCCCATTACTCGATGTGTAAGTGAACGCTTCAAAATCAAATTTTCCAAACCGAAATCTACCCTATTGGCTTCAGAAGGATTGCATTTTAACATGAATTTACTCATTTTTTAAGGAAACTAGAATATGCCCTCGCTATGTTTCAGAAAATCTGGTCAAAGCTTTGAACATAATATCTATATTAATGTATGTCTTGTATTGTTATCTAATTCTCAGGTATATGCATTTAGAATCAAAATTGAATTACCATAGCAAACTTCTCAAATATAAAATGAACTAATACATAACATGAAAATCATATGGAATTAATTAAAACACTAAGGCACTTAATTTCAAATAGGGAGATAATTATCTAATAGGGTAAAAATATAGAATTAAAACTTACGGACAAACACCAAGCATAATGCAAGAAGAAAATCGGATCGATGAAATCTGTAAAGAAGTAATACATAAGATAAATATATGTTAACAATGCCCACCTGAAGCATGTATCTTTCGGGTGAACAGTTTGTTCCAGCCTTTCTCGAAGAACATTCAAGCTCTTGCAGTTCCAGGGAATAGCAAACACTTGAAACATTACTGGGAGCCTCTCCAACTTCCTTTGAAAGATTAAGCGCTAGAATAGAAAAATACCAGAGACCAACCTTTGGGAAGCGAATAACCGGAGGGGACAGTTACCAGAATAGTCATGTAGGGTAGCTGATGCCATTGCACCATAACGAGCAAAGCACATTAAATCAACGCTGCTACTATTCTCAGTGCTGTTCAGGGGCTTTAACCTTGGATTTTGTATTGAAAGTGTTAAGGATTCGGTTATCTGTAGTCTCTCTAAGGTGTAGATTTTCATTTCTCCATCCCCGAGGCAAGAGGTCTCAAAATTGTTCCTGCACGTAAGCATGGTTTGATTGAAGCCAGATACAGAACCATTTCTTGAGCCATTACCAGATCGAACCATTTCATTTCAATAGTTTGGTTGCAGTACTGTCCTTGCATTAATGAGTTGGTACATCCTTCCACACTTATATTGGCTGCAAAGGAGTAAGCAGGGATCCGAACCATCAGCAATCCAGAGCAGTAGCCGTGAATTCAATTTCTTTGTTAAACGTACGTACAAAACAAACATATCAAAGCTCTCCTAGAAGAGGATAAGCAGACAGTGATGAAAAACAATGAGATGAATAGGAACAAAAGCAAACATTCTTCAAACAGTCGTTTGACTTTCATAAGATTTCCACAAGCCTAAATGCAAGTGAGAAATATATTATGCTGAGAAACCTTGTTGTATGGGATCCGAAGCCGGTCTCGATATATCTTTTTAATAACCAACTAACAAGTTTCCATTGTGCCGATCTTAAAATTAGAATATCCATCTATGAGCATGGTTATGTTCTTCAGAAGTGAATTACACAACAAATATATATATAATCGATGGTAAAATGCTTAAACAGATGACGTGGGGATTGATTACGAGTATAGATGCAACTATGAAACTGATGATGCAATAGATCAAGTGATGAATAAGGTGCAAAATAATGAAGCTAGTCATTTACCATCTTCAACTGTGTTTTAGTAGGCCCAAAACCATTGAAAAGACCAAAATACAAAACCCCGGCAGATATCTGAACAGCAAATTTTCAAGTTATAATGCCTAAAGTTGAATTTCTAATAATAATATAAAATAAAATAAAATAAAAAGGATGTCGGGGAATAACCTATGTTCCAAATTGAACATATTACCCCCACACCCCTGATTGTGGGTTAAAAAATGTCAAATGGATGATGTAGTGTAATACCCGCCTAAGAATTCAGAAAATTCATTTGGTAATGAAAGCAAACCTGCTCGTTCATCAACTTCATTGTCAGATTTCTTGGAACAGGATAGCACTGCTCTGAAGTTTGAAGTAATTGTATTCCTTCAAAAGATCTGTTAGATAGTGCAACTAGTGCACCAACAACAGAAACGTCTAAGATTCACCCTGGTCAATGAATTCAGTGACTGAAAGAAGAAACTAAGATTTGATGTTTGCTTGCAGGATACCTTTCATTGAACTGCTCAAGACATCTGGTAACGGGAGGCTGCCATATCTGAAGCACATCATCGGCAGCACATTTCTAGGAATTTTTTCGAAGCTATTTATATCCTGGAAGCATTTTCAAGCATCAGCAAAAGAGATGAGCAAGAGTGAGTAGGGAAACTACAAGAAGTTTAGACTCCAGAAATCAGTGATTAGAAATGTGATTTTTAATCCATGATTTTGTCTCAACAAAGAGTAGAAATGTACCATGAACAAACAAAAGAAATTCAAGAATCAGCAATTCAGGATAGCCAAAAAATAAAACAGAAACCTGATAAACATAAAAGACTAATTAACTTGAACAACCATACTTACAAGATTGACACTCGACTTCAATGCTATTGACATTGAAGAGAACCACGAAGGTAAATCAACTGATACAAGGCAGATATTAAACCCAGTGAGACACTTCAAAAAAAAAAATGATTCAAACGACAACACAGAGAATCTAATTCATTGCCATTTTTCTTAACCTAAGCACTGCATAAAATATATAACATTTTATTCTTTCTTGCATACAAGAAGCGGGAAATTAACTTCCAGGACAACAGTAATGAAGTAGCTTTCCATAAAAGGAAAGCAATCTAATAATCATCATGGCTGAGAAATTATTATAATGCTGACGCAATTAGAATTTTCCGGGTCAAATTCCATTGTCAGTTAAAAAAAATCAAAGAATTACTTATAGTATAGCACAGTTTCAGCTGCGGCCTAAGGCAAATTAGTTTGAAACAGTTTGAAAAGTAATTCATTGAGTTATTTTTTAACATATTTCTTTTAGTGTAAGTTAAACTGACAAGAAATTTGACTAGGAAATTTTCTAATTGCTTTCATCATTAAAATAGACATAAAAGAACAGAATCATAGTAAATTTAAAATCGAAATTTATTAGACCGGGGTGAATCACAAAATAGAAACAGCAACCGATTCTCATGTGCATTTGTTGGTGAAGTTCAAATTCAAACAAGCTACCCATTATTCATAGCATTCCACAATTAAATGATCAAAAACATTAAACCAAAATGCCAGATTGAATAATTAGAAAGACAAAAGAAATCAGTTTCCCATACCTCTTATATAACGCATATCAAAAGGTCTGATCTGGGTTTCTGGGTAATTGAAGCTTGAAATCGTAAAGGTATCATATCTAGCAAGTTGCTCAACCGAATTACAATGTCCAAACAAACAGGAAAAGAGGGTGAAAATACTTAGAATCGAGCTGGAAAGCCAACAATTAATCGAATTCTCTGCCATTTTCTGGGGGTAATTCTTAATAGGGAGCTAAAACATAAATAATAATATTAATGAATAGAGAGAGAATTTATACCAAGGAATTAAAAACATATAGCTTTTTTGGTTTATTGGTTATTAAATAGGCATTAAAAGATCTAATTTCCGGACTGTATTTGTAGTCCCTAATTCAGTGGGATATTGCTTAAATTATATTAATATCCTCAAAAATGGCCATCTGTTGACTGCTGCCTATGGCGCGAGTCAATATCAGCAAAAGTCACGTCCAAGGCAAGGCCACGCTCAGGCTGGAGGAGCGTGTAGGACCACGCGTCACCGGCGTTCAAAAGAATACAATGCTCTTTGCCACTGGTCTTTGGCTCGAGAAAGCCACAAGTAGTGAAGCGAGGATAAAAGCAAAGCAATTTGTACTCTTAACTAAACAAGATTAAAGGCTAAGGTTTGGAATTTTATTATTATAAATAAATAAACAAAAAACAAGAAATTGATGATTTACTTTTATTGATTATTGTCATTTTGGATATTTATTTGAAATGTGGATTAATTATTAATATAAGAATTTGCACTTTAATAATATGAATAAATTAGAGTACGTTAATTAAATTTATAAATTGTATATAATATATATATTAACATAAGAATTTAACCTTAATTAAATATAATATTTAAAACCTTAAATTGCTTTTTTTTATTTATATAAGTAGGGACCCAGGTAGGTTATGTCTGTGTATTTTTATAATAGTAGAGAGAACATTTCTAATTTTAAAATTTAATATTTTATTCGAAATCAATATAAATTTTCAAACCATTTTAATTAAGCTCACAAATTAGACATTCCCCATTTAAAGAACAGAAAAGAAATTAGTATTTTAACCGAACGTTTGGTAATGCACTTGTAGAAGAATAACAGAGATGTAATCTTCTAGATCCGAGCTCATTTTAATTTATTTCTTTTAAACGTAAGATCTGATTGAGCCCAGTTGGCAAAAATCGAACGGCAGTCTTCGTTTCCCTCTTCCCTCTTTTTTCTTCTTTTGACTCTCGCTGTCTCCGTCCCTTTTTGTCCTTCTCTCTTCTTCCACTTCAAGCTCAAAATACGAAAACTGTTGCAGAGAGTTTCCTCTGAAAAGCAAAAAGGAATTTCCAGAGAAAGAGCGTAAAACGGTGTAGTTTGAAAGACAAAAAGGGTAGAAGATGACGGTGATAGACTTGATCACGAGAGTCGACGCGATTTGCAAGAAATACGAGAAGTACGACATCGATAAGCAGAAAGAGGCCAACACCGCCGGCGGCGAAGACGCTTTCGCTCGCCTATACGGCGTCTTCGAGGCCGAAGTCGACGCCGCTATTCAGGTGTAATCTTCTTCCTCAAGTTACTTTTTTTGGCTTCTTAGTGTCAAAAAAAATTCCGACTTTTTTCTACAAAAATCCTTTAGAAATCGGAAGCTGCTGCAACGGAAAAGAACAGGGCTTCGGCGGTTGCTATGAACGCGGAAGTTCGAAGAACCAAAGCTCGATTGCTTGAAGAAATCCCCAAATTGCAACGACTCGCTCAAAAAAAGGTCTTTCCTTTATATTCATTATTTTGAAAGAATTTTATTTTTCCTTTGCTTGATTGGACTAAGAATTCGTTAATCGGTATTATTAATCCCTGGCGTTATAGGTAAAGGGGATTTCAAAAGAAGAGCTTGAAGCTCGAAACGATTTGGTTTATGCACTGAAAGATAAGATTGAAGCAATATCAGATGGATCAACAGCTGCAACTAAACAAAGTAGTGGTGGTTGGGCAACTTCGAGTTCCTACACTGGAATTAAATTTGATTCGTCTTCAGGTAATAACAATTTATTTATTGGATCATATTATTTTCAAGATATCTGTCTATGATCAATTGTTTTGAATGTTCGGTAATTGGATTAATCAGATGGGAGATTTGATAACGAGTACTTTCAACAAACCGAAGAGTCTGATCGGTTCAGGCAAGAATACGAAATGCGCAGAATGAAGCAGGTAGTAATTCCTTTTCTTTGTTGTTGTTTGTCTTATTGTTGCTAAGAGATTGACATTTATAACTCTAATGGCTGTAATGTATCGGATTTGGAGGATTATAGTAATTCATCTTCCTTTATAATGATTATATTTGATAGCAATACTCTTTTTTTTCCTTTCTTTTTTTAATGTAGGATCAAGGTTTGGAGGTTATAGCTGAAGGTTTGGACACATTGAAGAACATGGCTCACGATATGAACGAGGTTAATTTTGTCCGATATTGTTCTTTTCGTTTTGGTATAAATCATAGATTAAACTTTGAGATCTTATGCCAGTCGTTTTAGTTATTTGTGTTCTAAGATTTCCATTTCTTTCTTATGACAGGAATTGGACAGACAAGTTCCACTTATGGATGAAATAGATGACAAGGTGATTTTCTAGTTTTAAGTTATCCTTCTTTCCTTGTCATGGACATGGGCAACTTTTCTGTTATTTTGATAATAGCATTCTGGAAAACATTAAATTCATATATGAAGCCTTTTAACACTTTTTAAAATATCCGAAGATGATTATCTAACTATTGATGTTTAGTCTTTTTGAGATAAAAAGGTAAGGCTGGATCTTTATCCTGTTTCATCTGAAAGTTTCGGCAGATTAGAATTCCAATCTTGACCCTGTTTTCCGGTGTCTTCCAGGTAGATAGAGCAGCCTCGGATCTGAAAAGCACGAATGTGAGACTTAAGGATACTGTGCACAAGGTAATTCTATTGCCTTATATCTTTTGATTTTGGATGGAAGATGCTTTCTATATCTTGATGCTTATTTTGATTTTGTTCAGCTGAGATCAAGTCGCAACTTCTGCATTGATATCATCCTCTTATGTATAATTCTCGGGATCGCTGCATATTTATACAAGTAAGTTTTCTGATTCTTCTTGAATTATATGGTATGAAGCATTTAGTATTTGAGGTTTTGCCTTTCTATGTTCCATAAAGTATTCGGGCGTCGTCTCTAAAGCATGTAGGGAATAGAAATATCGTTGCCTAATATATTTGCACGATTGCTTCTCATGTGCCCCTACTAAGCTCAACTAAAATCTTTCAAACCATTCTTCAACTTCACCTCTCCAAAGTGCTCATGTCTAATAAATCCGAGCATCTAGACATGGGTGCGGAAGTATAATTCGGACTTTGTTTTTTGAAAAATCGACTATATCCATAGCCGACAGTTACTTTTGAGTAAGACTATTAGAGTAACATAAATATTACTCTTATCACAAATTTTGTGATTCATTTTTCTCTGCTGCAGTGTGTTGAAATGAAAAACTCTTCTACATGACGAGGATTACGCTCCTTCCATTACTGCGTACGAGTTTGTATGGATTTTAAATAAACTCTCGAGTCTGTCTCGACTTTACACCGGTATTATATAATCTGACTTGATATTTGTTGTACGTATTATATAATCTGACGATATTTGCAGTTATGTACTATACTTTCCGGAATTATATATACTAGTAGTGACAAAAGTATGTGGTACATGTGAACGGGCAATCGTTGTTACATGGGGAGTTCAAGTCTATTAGAAGTTTTCGTATTAAATCTAAAAGTTTTTTTTTGATCCGTTTTTATATATAAAAGAGAATATTTTAGTTATTTTATGGTTAAAAGTTTATTTTAATCCCTCTATTGAAAATCGAACATTTTAGTCTGTATGTTTTTAATGTTAATATTTTGATCTAATATATTAAAGTTATTGTTAGTTGGATTGAATATATTTTTGTTTAAACACATTTTAAGTATTTCAATTTTGAATGTGAACAAATTAATCTCTTCTAATTTTTTTTTGTAACATCTGCATAATTTTTTTTTAAAGTAAACGATCTTCAGTAACTATAAGTTATGTCAGAACTGACTACAACGAAAATACAGTTGGGGGCATTCGACTCAAAATATAATGGCACAGACGTTGTGGAACTGGCGAGTGCATGAGCCGCACCATTGGCCTCACGGCAGACGTATACGACAGAAACACGCGGAACGATCAGCTACATGATTCTCCAACTGACATGCGACATCCTAAGAATCGCTCGCAACAATGGCTACCGGAAGCTCCATTTCTGTAGCCATATGGACACCATGACTGATTGCCAGGGCCTCAATTATACCAGGCACATGATACTCAGTAACCGGGAGAACACTGCCAGCCACTACTTGGTCCCTAACTGTCACGCAAAATTACTCCAACAGCCAGAGAAGCAAGAGAGGCAGGACATGCACCTTCAACGTTCACCTTAAAGGTACCTGCCAGGTGCTTTGCCCATCGATGGGGACGAAGACTAGTAGACAAAGCAGCAGCTGAGGATGATGAAGAAGCCAATGCAGTGCAATACACAGACTGTAACGAGTTGTCAGAAGCAATAAGTTGCCAACCAGGTAGCAGTTGACCTTCGTGGAAGAAAAGGTTTTGCCTATGCCAAAGCTTCCGAAGCAGCACCAAAAGTGAAACAAACCTGTGAACCGGCAACTTGACCATCAAATGTTTTAACCAATCACGAAATGATGGAAAAGTAGTCGGATCAGAGACGGTGGAAAAATCGACTACAACTAAGGATTCACTGTTATGGTCGGAGAAGAAGAAGAACGGCGAGGAGAGGGGGATTTGGGAATGAACGAGAGAGGAGAGGAATTAGGAATGGATGCACGAGGGTTAGGGATTGGAAAATGTAATTTGGGAATTAAAGCACGAGGCAGTCAGGTGATTATTTTACCCGATGAGATAGAGCAGGCCAAACGGATCAGAGGAAGGTTGGAGCAGCCCAAGCGAGATGGTCCAATATCTGCTGAAGAAAAGAAATGAAACAAAACCGTTCTGTTAGTATTCAGTTAGTAAAAATGCCAGCTGGCATTAATTAGATTCCCATACTATTTTGTAACTAAATAAAATACCTACTTGTAGTCATCTTCTCCTTATGAAATGAATGAATGAATTTTCAGCTTTCTTGAATCTCTTTTCTTCTCTTCTTTAATCTCAATAATGTCCATTCTTCGTCTAATTTTCTTCTCTAATCTCCTAGGGTCATAACAATTGGTATTCAGAGCCATCACTCCTGGCAATCAACGCCTGGGTATGCCAAAAAGAAACCAAACAATGCCAGAAAATCTTGATCTTTCTACAATACGAAAACAACTTGAAGATTTAACAGCTTTGATGAAGCAATCACAGGATGAAACTACTCCTAAATGGTGGAAAAAGCAGGAAAGCCGATTGAGTACGTTGGAATCTAAACTGGAAACAAATCAAAGATATGTGCAACAGATCTTACAGATTCTGAATGATAAAAAGAGTGAGCAAAAGAAAATTCATGGGGATTGCTTTACTCAACTACAAGAACAACAAATTCATGGGGAGAAATGAATGGGTCAACTTTCGATGGGTGAGTCTAAACCCATTTTCCTCACTCCTAAAAGGGTGTTTTCGGTGGCAATAGAAGGCACATATAATGTTTCTCAAATGTTCGATAAAATGTCAGCAAGTGTAGCTAGTGTTGTATTTCCATCTATCACCAGCACCATGAAAGCTAATTCACGACTGCAGCAGAACGTCAGTCTGGTTGGATACACCAAACTGATTTCGAGAGAAAATCGACTGCTGCATAACGTCAGTCTAGTTGGATACACCAAACTGATTTCGCAAGAAAATCAAGAATTGCCTATGTCGGTTCAAGTTGCTACCTTTCAACCATTTGTCGTGGATTTATCCGGACTCTTGGAGGGCGAGATTCAAATGGTTATAAACTCACAAAAACAATTAGTTGATTCTTCTTCAAAGGCAAATGTGGTTCATTTTTTACAGTGTCAAACAACTGGTAACACAAATAAGCTGAATTCTCTAGTTCAATCCATGCGTAGAGAAATTTATTTCATGATGTTTATGAATGCCAATGAACATATTTTGACCCTTGATCCTTATATGTTTAGACTTTTGTGGATGGGACGGAGTACAATTTTTTTGGTTAAGAATTGGAGTGTGAATCAAAGGTTGCACATTATGCTTTCTATTCTGTTAAAGTTGGGTATATCGAGCATTTTCAGTGGTCTCCTAAAATTATTTCATAACTCCAAGAATGTACTGGGTAGTCTCTGTTTTGGCATAGATTGTTTTCATGCATGGTGTAGCTTGAAAGTCAATGGGACTAGGAAGAAACTAAGTAGTACTAAAGGTCAGGGGGAACAACAAATTAAATTTCATCCATGCATAATCCGAACATTTAAGAGAAAAGGTTTTCTTGTTATTTATATGTTTGTTGGGCATGAACAGATCGTGGTAATTGATTTAGGTGGATATAGGTATATTGTTGCCAATAAATTTGGAAGAATGAGAAGTTCTATCCATCCTTTCAAATCTGAAAGTGGGCCGTTGGGTAAAGGCAATAATTCTTTTGTTGCAAAGAAGAATAATGTTGTGAGTTATGAGGTGGAAAAGGGTAAAAGTGTGGACTGCAGAAGCAAGGAAAGAAATGAACAGGTTGTCTCTAGTCAAGTCACTAGATCAAGAAGTTCTGCTCAACCTTCCATGTATATGAGTGGGCTTTCAGGTGCATGCAACACTTCTACTGTTGCTAAACAGGATGGTACGGTACCAACAGAATCCATCCGCAAATCAAGACAACAGCTTGATGTTCATGAGTTATTGGAGTCAAAATTTGTCAGACCAGTTTATAATACTGTATATTGTGGCATAAAAACTGAAGAAAAAGGAAAATGCCGGAGCAAAGCAAGGAGTGAAGATGTTTTCACAAGGTCAAGAAGTTATGTTCAATCTCCAAAATTTGAGAATAGTTCAACAGGTGCAGAAAAAAGTTCTACTGTTGCAAAGCAGGATGGTATTGTGCTAACAGAATCCATTAAAAAAATAGGACTAGAACATGTTGTTGTTGTTGAGTTATTACAATATGTCAAACTAGTTGATGATGATGTAACCTGTATGGTAGTAAAGGAAGAAAGAGGTCGATTTCAGAGCAAGGTTCATCTGAAGGAGAGGGGAATTTGTAGTGTTGGAAACTATACGCGGTATAGTGCAAATACCATGTTAAGTGGGTTGGTGGCAGATAAGAAAATTATGTGTACTCATCTGATGGAATATGAGGGTGTATTACGTTGGACTATTCTGGATTCAAGGATATACTCTAGGGAGGAAGAATATTCTAGTGGCTATGAAGGATCAACTCTTCTTAGCTGGTATAGAGAAATTATTGACAAAACAATCATTCTCATCAATGTGGTTAATGCTAAAACTTATGAGGTTACTGATGCAGATTATAACAGCCGTTTGATATTTGGGTACACATTGGTTCGATCAAATTCAGTTGCTGGAGAACTTAGATTGTCTGAACCATTTGAATTTTTTTTCTAAAACTTCAAATGGTAGAGATGCTTGCTCTTATCGGAAAGAAAATAGAAGGTGATGTACTAAATGTTGTTGAAGTGATTCCAAAAGTTGAAACTCAACAATGGGTTTGGGGCAAATATAAGAAATATGCGGGGTATAAGTTTGGGTATATTGAGCTGCCAATTCATGATCCATGCCTAGCTATTGGGTTTCTACTTCTTCATTTTGATGGTCTTCGAGTTGGGCAACTTGTTACTTTGAAATGAATAAATGAGAGGCCAAAATATATAGGGAAGATCAAAGTTTCACAAAACAATGATGAAGTGTTGTATGAAGTGAATGTGAATTCCGATAAACCACCTACTCTGCTATGGTGTTTAGAATTCACAGTGCATAAGGTCTCATATATGTTGCAGAACAGAATTAAACAACATACCGACAAAAATCGAAGTGAACGACAGTTTCAAATTGGAGAAGAAGTATACCTAAAATTGCAGCCCTACAGGCAGATGTCCATCGCCCTGCGAAAGAACATGAGGTTAGCAGCGAAATTTTATGGGCCTTAACGAATTCTGGAAAAAATAGGAACAATAACCTATAGATTAAACTTACCAGATTCATCGAGCCTCAACCCCGTCTTCCATGTCAGCCTTTTGAAGAAATACATCGGGGATTCCTCCAGTGCTGCAACGGCTCCTCCTGCAGTAGATAAAGATGGACAGTTTAGAATTCAACCTTTGAAGATTTTGGCCAGACGAATAGTGAACAGAAACAGTAAACCAGTAACTAAGCTTTTGGTTCGATGGGAAAATTTGGATGAGTCGAACGACACGTGGGAAGATTATTTGGTTCTAAAAGGACGGTTTCTTGGCTTCGATCCTTGGGGACAAGGATCTTCTCGTGGGGCGGGTATTGTTATGGTCGGAGAAGAAGAAGAACGGCGAGGAGAGGAGGATTTGGGAATGAACGAGAGAGGAGAGGAATTGGGAATGGATGCATGAGGGTTAGGGATTGGAAAATGTAATTTGGGAATTAAAGCACGAGGCAGTCATGTGATTATTTTACCCGATGAGATAGAGCAGGCCAGACGGATCAGAGGAAGGTTGGAGCAGCCCAAGCGAGATGGTCCAATATCTGCTGAAGAGAAGAAATGAAACAAAACCATTATGTTAGTATTCAGTTAGTAAAAATGCCAGCTGGCATTAATTAGATTCCCATACTATTTTGTA